TTCATATCAATACTAGAAAAGAAGAAATACAACAAAAGGTCTGAAAGAGCCACCAAAACGCCTAATATTAGGCACACATTCACAGGCAGTATCTGAATGTATGAATTGATAATCAGAAATATGGGTCCCATTATGCATGTGTCCACTTTAGGCATCACTCCATGTGTAACATTCATCATCTATTAAATGAAAAAATTATTAACAAAATATTTGACTAATTGATTGCAAATATGTGATACATTACCTGTAATTTAAAGGACAACTTAGCGAAAGCCAACCCAAAGACAGTTATGAATAAAATAGGATTCATATGAAAGACTTGTCTCTCGAATCCAATTATAGAGAAAGCAATCAAAACACTGAACGAAACAATTGGATTCCATTTGCTATTATCGCTCTTCCGGGGTATCCTTATATACCTGTCCATTGGGGTGTCGGCGCCCAATATAATCCTAACATTGTTTACGATTGAGCTCATCAGCGATAATATGGTCAACACGAATAGGATATCTCGGAGTGTTATATCAAAAACTAATTTGTTTATAAAAATTTGTTGACTAAATATATATGTCAGTGTATGCACTGTAATGATAGCCCACTGGCCTTCTATCACATCAATACTGAAATGAGTTTAGAATATATGAAATTTATAAACAATTAAATATTGAGATTTTTATGGGGCATACATACCGTCCAAACACCATAACATGTGTGATGTGACAGCTATAGTGAGTCATATAAAAGGCTATTAATGGGACCAAAAAGAAGATGAATTGCATGAGAGGGCTGTCCCCGAGTCGGGCCGCTATTGTGGCCGATTGGGTCACCAGAAAAGCTGAGATGGCATCACATCCGTGATCGTAGACCTCCTCGATAGGTGTGTCCTGCACTTTGACCGCTTGTTTGCCATCCAATGCATCCATTAATTGGTACACAAATAAGCCGATCCCACACACCAAGAAAGCCCAGTTCGGCACCTGTAGGTTATTCACAGTTACAATGACTAACTAAATCAATTGATTTACACACATGCATGTTATTTAAATATATCAAACTATGCTTAATTACTATTTTATTGAAATTATTTTAATAAATAAAATCTAAACTTAACTTACAATTTGTTTGGCATCGGGTGAATAGTAGAAAAGTGTAGCACTTGTCAGTACATTAATTGCGAGTCCAACGCATGTAATTGTGCATGG